AAAAGTGTTGATGGTAAAATATCAGTGAGATGCTGTGATTTATGCCCTTTGTCTTTTCTATCTGGCTCCCCTAGCAACAGTTAAGTAATATGAATGTAAATGCTGAGTAACACAGCGGCGTGACTGTTCCACCAGACGTAGCATCCCTGGTAAACAGAAATGCAGGCTAATTTCTGCTCTGTTAAGCACAGAAAACATCACTAGGGGCTTCCCAGTGGAAAAGAACAAAAAACAGATGGAAAAATGTTTAAATCTCAAGGTTATGTGAGAACAGAGAAGAAGGAACATGTTGTAAATTATTTTTTGAAATATTAAGCTACTAACAAAATCCTAACACCAAGACAGACAACAGGGGAGGTAAAAGGCAAAGGAGAGACAGTCACAATGCAGGCAGTTATGTTACAGCATACCGCTACTGCCACGTTTTTCTGGAGTATCTGAAGATATCGGTCTTGAAAATACATATGCATTATTTTTTCAGAGGTGTGTGTCTGTAGCCTCGGGGCTGGAGCTAGAAAACAAACAAGGCTATTGCCATGAGCTCATGCTGGAGTCTGTGTAAACTGTTTCCTCTCCTTATGTATAATGTTTCTAATTAGGACTGTTACAGAGGATGAGCTCTGTGGGCTGTTGAATTGACTCTTTGTGCTCACTGCAAATCTAGGGCTTTATGCCTGCCCTTGCTTGGGCTGACCTGCTTCTTACATGCATCACTAGATGGGGAAGGTGACCTCGTCCTGCTTCCTGATATCTGGTATAGGGGCTGTTGGGGAAACACCCAAGAGATACGGTCTCACCCCTGGAGTGAATAGATACATGACTCTGGTTTCTACATGTATAACTCTTGTTTCTAGTTGGCGCTTTTATCCAATTATACCTTTAATAAACAAAAGTCCATTTTGAGGTCATTCCTCTAAGAGACAGCTATTTACCTGAAAGTTGTAGGGTGGGCAGTAGATACTAGTTCCTCCCTCTGCATCAAGAATTTAAGAAACGGCTGGGCGCGGTGGCTCACGCCTATAATCCCAGCACTTTGGGAGGCCAAGACAGGTGGATCACGAGGTCAAGAGATTGAGACCATTCTGGTCAACAAGGTAAAACCCCGTCTCTACTAAAAATACAAAAATTAGCTGGGCATGGTGGTGCACGCCTGTAGTCCCAGCTACTTGGGAGGCTGAGGCAGGAGAATTGCTTGAACCCAGAAGGCGGAGGTTGTGGTGAGCCGAGATCGTGCCATTGCACTCCAGTCTGGGTAACAAGAGTGAAACTCCACCTCAAAAAACAAACAAACAAACAAACAAAAGAATTTAAGAAATGGGCTGGGCACAGTGACTCACACCTGTAATCCCAGGACTTTGAGAGGCCAAGATGGGCGGATCACTTGAGATCAGAAGTTTGAGACCAGCCTGGCCAACACGGCAAAACCCCTTCTCTACTAAAAATACCGAAATTAGCTGGGTGTGGTGACACGTGCCTGTAATCCCAACTACTAGGGAACCTGAGGCAAGAGAATCACTTGAACCCAGGAGGCAAAGATTGCAGTGAGCTGAGATTATGCCACTGCATTCTAGCCATGAGCGATGGAGCAAGGCTCCATCTTAAAAAATAATAATACATTTTTTAAAGAATTTTAGAAATAGTTAGAGAAAGTGGAGTAGGACTCTGCTTCCCCAAGATGCTAAGGATTTGGTGAGGAGGTGGCCCAGAGGGTATGAGTCTCCCTGGCTTGGACCCACTCCTGCTCCCGACCTCTGACATGTTTCTAGGTCAGACACACTTAGAAAATTAATCCTCAGCCATCTGAATTGCCTGCTGAGCAGGCAATTCCCTTCCACTGGTAAAACCTCAGTCAGCTACGCTGGGCAATGCATAGAAATACAGTATTGGCTTGGCTTAGAGGTCTCCAGACAGTTGGTCCCAGAGGACTAATAAAGGTTCCTTGTTGATCTAGTACAACATGCCCACTGTGGGACCTGTTAGGCTCCATAGTACTGAAGAGGTGCCAGGAATTCAAGGAGGATGGAGACTGGTGCTGAAAAGCTTCCCCCAGTGATTCTGATATGCTCCAAGGGGGTCGTCTTGGGCAGCCTTCCCATTGTGTCAGGCCTATGGTATCACTAATTCTTGTCCAGACCTGCAGAGCCAGAATAGCCCAGCCCACAGAGCAGAAGCCACAATGTAAGAAGCCCAGCCTGGGCCAGAAAGCCTGATGATGCCAGAAAAAAATCCTTATCAGTGTGGTGCCATGGAAACCCTAGACAACAGGCAGATCTTTCTGCCTACGATCCTACTGGCACCTCCCTGGGAAGTGGGAGATGAGTAGGGAGGTAAATCCCAGAAGCAAATGGGACACAAGTTTCACAGAGAGCCTGGATGCAAACCAGTAGCAGGGGACTGCTCCTCTGCACCCCAGAGGTGTCATGCCTTCCGCCTGGTAGCTTCCCAATGGACAACTTCTCCATGACCTAGTTTTCTACCTGGTCTGAAATGAGAAAAACAAGTAAAGCACAGCAAGTTTTTCATTAAGCTAGATTTGTTCTATTTAAAGAACCGCCATTTGTTCTGGAACTATGTCCTTTCTACTTTTGTTGGTGGAAAAAAAGAACTTTTAAGAAACAGATGTGACAATGTGGTAGTGGGTGACAACTTTTTGGTGTTGCCTTTTATTTCTATTTGTTAAAATAAAACCTGGCAACACTATGTTAGTCTGCCATTTTGTTTGTTGCCTGCTTGCTTTTGCTTCTGGTGTGGTGGATTAAAGATGACCACAGATTCTTTGGAACTTTTCCAACTGAAATGTGTATCTTGCCTTCTCTCTCTTTTTTTTTTTTGAGACGGAGTTTTGCTCTTGTTACCCAGGCTGGAGTGCAATGGCGCGATCTCGGCTCACCGCAACCTCCGCCTCCTGGGTTCAGGCAATTCTCCTGCCTCAGCCCCCTGAGTAGCTGGGATTACAGGCACCTGCCACCATGCCCAGCTAATTTTTTGTATTTTTAGTAGAGATGGGGTTTCACCATGTTGACCAGGATGGTCTCGATCTGTTGACCTCATGATCCACCCGCCTCAGCCTCCCAAAGTGCTAGGATTACAGGCGTGAGCCACCGCGCCCGGCCCTCGCCTTCTCTTAAATCTGGGCTGGCCTTAGTGACTTACTTGACTAATAAAAGGTGGTGCATATGACCGCGTAGGGCTTCTGCAACCAGGTCACAGGAAGCCTTGCAGCTTCCTTTCCAGGCCTCTTGAAATACTTACTCTTGGAACCCAGCTGCCATGCTGTCAGGAGCCCAAGTGGCCAAGGTAGAGGCCCAGACAGAAAAGAAGCAAATACCTAAATGTTTTGCTTTGGTTAATCACTCCAGTAAAGTTACTAAAGGACACAAACCACAACATTTTTAAAGACAAAAATATCTACATTACATATTCTACTTTACAGATTATGTGACTTTTAACAGCGCTCTATTTTTAAATCTCATCATTTGCTTTAGTTATAAATTATTATGTTTTCATATAGGTATGTGGTACAAAATTCAAACAGTACAAAGAATACAATGAAAAGTACGTTTTCTTTTCATCCCAAACACCCAAAGGTAACCAGAGTCGTCAGCTTCTTGTGTATTCTCCCAAAGACACCAAGCCACATAAAAGCATATATACGTCTATTTTTTTTCTTTTGTCTGAAGACCAGCTTCAGTACTGTGGTGGTTTCACCAATAATACCATCCTGTGAGACCTCTCAAGAAACAGCCAGCTTTCTGTTGGCCAGGCAGAAGCATGTTTCCTTGTATAATACCTTTTTTATGCAAATAGAAACTTAGTGTTCTGCACTTCACATTTCTTACCTAACAGTAAATTTGGGAAACAAATAACTTATATCTCTCTTGTCACAACTATATTCCCTATCACAGCACCCTCCGCATGCAACAGGTGCTCAGTAAATGTTTTTTAGCTCATGGTAATAAGTTTCCTGTTGAGAACTGTAAGTAAGGGAAAGCTGTTTACAACCATAAACCACTAGAGAAAGGTAAGAAATGGTCACGACTGTATGTGGCTGCTATGGGAAGAAGTAGGTCCTGTGTTGATCAGCATTCCTTCTGCTTTAAGGGCCAAACCCAAACTAGAGTGTCCACTTCTTCCCCTGGGTTCTAGGCTCAGCAAAGCCGGGGCTGTCAGTCCAGATAATGCTGTTTAACAAACAGAAGCCAGAAGGTGAACTTCCTGTTAAGTCAAGCTCATAAAGCCACCCAGAAGGCGAAATGGTTGAGGCAGAAAAGGACCTCAAGAGAATGGTTTATTTACTCTACAGGAGAGGCTACAGAGTGACTTTTATAGCCTAAGGGAGCCTCAAACAGGAAGGAAAGGGCTAAAGAACCAGAGGAAGAGTAGAGTGAGCTTCAGAAAGATCTCTGAGCCTGGTGCATGGCATGCACCTTTAGTCCCAGCTACTGGGGAGGCTGAGGCAGGAGGATCTCTTGAGTCTAGGAGTTCAAGGGTGCAGCGAGCTACGATCACTGCTTGGGTGACCCCAAGACCCTGTCTCTAAAAATAAAAAATAAGAATAAAAAAATCTCTGGGATAGCACTATGGACTGCAGCCTCCACCCCAGCATTTTGGCAGGAGCCCCCTACCTCTGCTGGCACATATGGCCCTTTTGTAGGATTGAGGCAGACCCAGCTGAGATGACTAAGGTATTCAGTGGAGGAAGGCTTTGCCCCAGGACGAGACTTCAATGCAGAGCTCTCGCTGGATTTCAGCCCCACTCGCCCCATCTTTGCGCAAAGTGCAAACTCCCACTCTAGGTTTCATTCATTAGTTCACTGGATATATATGTACTGATACCCATTACGTGTCATGCACCATATTAGGTACTGGGGACACGGCATGAACAAGGCAAGCTCCCAGCTCATGAGGAGTTTATTTCCTAATGGAAAAGATACAACAAATCTTCAAGAAAGGCAATTTCAGAGAGTGAAAAGTGCAAAGAAGAAAGTATATAGGATAACTTGAGAATGTCGCGAGGGTGGTGGGCAGTGTTTGGCCAGAGTAGTCAGGAAAAGCCTTTTTGAAGAGGAGACCCTCAAGTTCCAGGCTCCAGGCTGGAGTCCTTTGAGTCTCTTCCTCCTCCTCTTCCATCCCTCCAGTGGGTTTGAGCTGGGGCCTTATGTTTCCCAGTGGAAACAACCTTGAAAATAGCCCCTAATGAGCTTCCCTCTTGGTATCCATGCCCTTGAGTAGTCTCTTTCCACATTGTCTCAGGGTTTGTCTGTGTGGCCATCAGAACACAGTAGAAGTGATGGTTGTCACTCCCAAGGCTAAGTCATCAGAGACCTCATGTTCCCCTGCCCTGCCCTCTCTCTCCCTCTCTCAGGTTACTCGCTCTGGGGGAAGTAAGCTGCTATGTTATAAACAACCACAAGGCAAGGAACTGAGGCCTCCTGCCAACAGCCATGCATGTGAGTGGGCTTGGAAGCAGATTCTTCAGCCCCAGTCAAGGCTTCAGATAACTCAAGCCCCAAAAGACATCAGCCTCCTGAGACACCCTGCAACCATCCAACTAAGCTGCTCTCAAATTCTTTTTTTTCTTTAATGAATGAGGCAATTTATTAACCCAGGATAACTTGTTCTAATGCTTCTTGTTGGCAGCTGCCACCTATCCAGCAATTCCGTCCAGATCTTTCTGATCCCGAGGTGTCAGTTTGTGGCCCCCATCTTGGTCCTTTTCCACCATTTTCAGTCCCTCCAGGGCTTGAAGGATTCAGTGGGCCACACTCTTGGAATCTCAGCTGACATGGCTGGGCATGACACCATTTCTCTGACATCCTCCATAGATCTTGGTCATGGAGCCAAGCCCAGCACCACCTTGGTGGTACAGGTGCCACATTGTGGAAGCAGCTCATGTGTAGAACTAGTTCTCATCTCTGATCTCAGAGAGTAAGCTCTTTGTGCTTGGCCAGTTTGGTGATGTCCACCCATTCAGGGACTTTCAGCTTCCCAGACTTTATGAGGAAGGCTACTAGAGTGCTGATGAACTCCTGCTGATTCATGTCTTCTACAGTAACTCCAGGAATTGTGCCACCTCTGCGCTGCCAACCAGGGGAACAGCTGTTCTCAAATTCATGATCCACAGAAATTATGAGATAATAAACACTTGTTATTTTAAGCCACGAAGGTTGGAGGTTATTTGTTACACAGCACTAGATAACCAATACACAATAGATAGCCCTTGCATATCAATCTCACTGCACCCTGCAATCCAGACCTCCTTGTCTCCTATGTCCTCTCCAGCCTACGTCCTCTCCAGCATCTAGCCTGCCCAGTCCTCACACACTAACATTCCCATGTCACTGCTTCAATTGTGACACTGTCCCAACCCACTCAAAGACCATCCCCCATGCCATATTTCTCAGTCACCTCCAGGGAAAAGGTTAAATCAGCCTGACTTCTAAGTATGTCCATAAGTCTAATTCTGCAAGCATTTATTGCAGATTTGTGATGTGTTTAGCTTAGTGTTTCATGCTGCAGGGAAAACACAGGAACTATTTATTATAATCCCTGTCCTTGGAGGTGTTGGTAAGATAGACTGATGTCTCTGAAACAATCAGAAGGCACTGCAGAATAGTTAGTCAAAGGCTTGTGGGGTTGACAAAGTGTTAAGTGAGAGGTTGGAGAACTCCGTGTGGGCTGGAAGTGGGGAGCAGGGAGAAGGTGGGGCCTGGGTAGGGCCCAAGCAAACAGAGGGGCTGAAAGCAGAGGTCCACTTAAGGAAATAGAGTAGAGCAGAGGTCAGTTTAGAAAAACAAAGACTAGAGCAGAGGTCAGTTCAGGGAAACAAAGACTAGAACAGAGGTCGGTTTAGGGAAACAAAGCCAGGGCCGGCTGAGGATGTGGAGGGCCTTGACAGCCTAATGAAAGAACCCAGACCCAATCCATTGGGCAATAAACAACTGTGAAACTATTTAGATGGATGACATTAAAGGCAGGGATTGAGATGGAAAGAAGATGGAGAGGATAAGAAGGTGGGAAAAGAGATCGGGCTGGGGCAAAATGACTTTGGAATGGTTTGCCACCACTGAGATGTGAGCACCTGAAGCTAGACAGCAGGAACAAAACCAGGGGCATTGCTCTGATTCAAGGCTGCACAATTGAGGTGCCACCCCCACCCCAGGCCTGGCACCCGCCTCCTATCTTGGGGAGCATAGATTCAATGAGACCGGAATCAAGAGCAGGTCAAGTTCCTGCTGAGTCTGTAGCAGAGGCGCTTAACCCTCGATGGACATTAGGATCATCTGTGGAGATGTGTAAGGACACTTGGGGGCCAATTTGAAGCACTTTAGCATAATAGTCTAGTGCAGAATCTGATAGACTGCCTGGCTCTACCTCTCATAGACTGAGGGATCTTTGATGAGTCACTTAACTCCCCAGAGCCCCACAGTCCTCATCCAAACATGAAGATAATAAGTGTCTACTCCATAGAGTTGCTGTGGAGATTCAACGAAATGAAAAGCACTTGGAACGGTCAGCTTTTTTGTTATCCAAATGTTCTTGCACTGACCTGGGTTGCAGTTTAGGCATAAACATTTTTAGTTTCCTGCGTACAGCCAAGATTAAGAATTAAAAATCCAGCCATGCACAGTGGCTCACACATACAATGCCAGCACTTTGGAAGGCCGAAGTAGGAGGATCACTTGAGTCCAGGAGTTTGAGACTGGCCTGGGCAACATAGGGAGACCCCATCTCTACCAAAAATAAATAAACAAAGAGAAATAAAAAATTAGCCAGGCATGATGGTGCTTGCCTGTAGTCCTAGCTTCCTGGGAGGCTGAGACGGGAGGACTACTTGAGCTCAGGAGATAGAGGCTGCAGGGACCCATGACTGCACCACAGCCTAGGCGATAGGACAAGACACTGACTCAAAAACAAACAAACAAAGCAGGCCAGGTGCAGTGGCTGGTGCCTGTAACCCCAGCACTTTGGGATGGCAAGGTGGGAGGATCACTTGTGCCCAAGAGTTCAAGACTAGCTTGGGCAACAAAGGGAGACCCCGTCTCTATAAAAAATGAAATAATTTTTTAAAAAATCAGAAATCCACAGGACAAAGAACTCACCCCCTCATCCTTCCTACCATCCTCTCTACCATCAGAATAGGAAGTGAAAACTATAACTTCAAACATTCTCTTTGATTCAATGAAAGTAAGACCTGGCTGGATTATGGCTTTGACTCAGAACCATGGGCAAAGTCTATGCTTTGGGAGTTTCTGCAAGAAGCTTGGGGACGTTCAGCAGTTTCAGTTAAACTTGACTCTGAGTTTCATTCAAGTCTATGAAATTCCAGAACTTAAAGCAAAACAAAGGCACCCTCAAGGTCAGGGATCATATGCTGTCCATCTCCATCCCTGGCACCCAGCACGACACCCACACTTGCTGGTTGGCTGGAGGAGGCGAGGCAGGCCTTAACTCGGTTGGTGCACAGAGCTGACTGGTCTCGGATACGGACCACGGTGGGTACATTTGATGAAGCAAAGACAAAGGCATAAAGGAAACAGGCTTTGTGCCATTTAGGAGTGCAAATTAGATATTCTTCATTGCTGGAGAATTTTCATACTGCTAAACCAGGAACATTCAGACACCCACTTTCCACCCTCAGTTTAGGATATTTATGTTAACGGAAGACTCAGAGGGGGATGACTTGTTGGGTCTTTTGAGTTGGTACAATGCAGATTCAGGTGCCATATTCAAAGTGTGCCTGAGGGTGGGCAGCCTCCCAACACCCCTCAGGCCAGCGCTTCTCAAACACTGATACGCACACCACTCATCTGGGGAGCTTGTTCACATGCAGATTCTAGTGTGGTAGGTCTGAGCGAGAGCCTGAGATTCTATATTTCTATTTCTTTTTCTTTTTTTGAGACAGAGTCTTGCTCTGTCGCCCAGGCTGGAGTGCAATGGCATGATCTCAGCTCACTGCAACCTCCACCTCCTGGGTTCAAGCAGTTCTCTAGCCTTAGCCTCCCGATTAGCTGTGATTACAAGCACCAGCACCACCATGCCTGGCTAATTTTTGTATTTTTAGTAGAGATGGTGTTTCACCATGTTAGCCAGGCTGGCCTCAAACTCTTGACCTCAGGTAATCTACCCACCTCGGCCTCCCAAAGTGCTGGAATTACAGGCATGAGCCAACGTGCCCAGCCGAGATTCTGCATTTCTAACAAGCTCCCGGGAGATGGTGATACTGCCGGCCCAGAGACCAGCACATTGAGAGGTGAGGCATCAAAGTCCACTTTGGGACAGAAGCCAGCCCAGGTTTGGTGTATCACCCAGAGAGTAGCCCTAACTTGGGTTAAAAGAATTAACAAGTCCATGCCCACTGGTCACATATTTATCATTTTTTCTGCCTTAAACATATCCTGGCTGAGTGTGGTGGCTCAGCCTGTAATCCCAGCACTTTGGGAGTTCGAGGCAGGGGGATCACTTGAGCCTGGGAGTTGAAGACCAGCCTGAGCAATATAGTGAGATCCTGCCTCTACGAAAAATAAAAAATTAGCCAGGCATGGTGGCACACACCTGTAGTCCCAGCTACTCAGGGGGCTGAGGTGCGAGGACTGCTTGAATCTGGGAGGGCAAGGCTGCAGTGAGCAGGGATCGTGCCACTGCACTCCAGGGTGGGCTGCAGTGCAAATCCTGTCTTTAAAAAAATCCTTAAAATAGGTTGAGAGTCTGAACGTCTTAATTATCTAATGGGCTCACTGGATTTTTTAAATATCCTTGTCACTTCTGGTGTAATTTGTCATTTTGAGCATGCTGACTCTGAAACCCTCTCTGTAACTGAGAAGGACATGTCCACCAACATTCACCCTGTTTGCTGCGTACATCAGGGGCCTCCTTGGGCTCCAGGGCTAGGACAGACCTCTGGATTGCTGATTTAACTCCAGGGCTGGTTAATAAAGGCCCAGCTGAATCTGGAGCCTTGCCCCACATCTCACAGCTGGTGGAAGAGCCAGGAAGATCTGAGTTGTGTCTTCCTGGTATACCGTTTGGTGGTGATGGTTTATATGATATCCTGCTTCTATCTCAGAGCACTGGTTTAGTTCAGGAAGTAAACTGGCTGCTTTCAGGGACCAGAGTCCAGAGGGTAGCCAGTGGTTATTTCAAGATGCCAGGTGAGAAGATGGGAAAAGAATGTCTGGCCTCAGACCTTTCACCTCACCCTGGGTGAGATCTATTAATACTACACTCTCTCAGCACCATGCTGAAAAAGCACTCTCACAGCGTTAACGAGAATTTCAAGCCAGGGTCTAGGAAGAGTTACAGTTAGGTAATGACCAGGCTGTGCTAGTGCACTTTGACCCACTTCCCTGCATTGCTCACAAACCAAGAATCACGTAGCATGCTGACCACTGGCTCCCTCATTATTGTTCCTATAGATAGAATCTCTGACACTGGACCTTTTTTTTTTTTTTTTTTTTTTACCAAATAATCCCTTAGGGTATTTTTCAGATCCTGCATTCCAGCAGAATGCTTGGCATCAATGAGTCTGAAGACCCTCAGCCCCAAGGTGCCAACCCAGCACAGAATTGTGTTTCCTTTATCTCCTTGTCCCATAACTTCACCCATCACTTCTCAACCAATCAGCAACCCCTAGCTCCTCAACCCCTCACCCACCAAAATTCCCTTTAAAACTCCTTGGGGAGGCAGATTTGAGGTTCCCTCCCACCCGCTTTGTTTGGCTGCCATACGATTATTACACTGTTTCTCTGCTACAACTCCCACCATTTCTGTGTATTGGTCTGTTGCTGTATAATGGGCAATTGAACTTGGTGGTCCTATAACAGCACCTCTCCTTTAAGCACTGTGTACTGTTATTTGCAATACAATTATTTATTAAGGTCTAAATGTCCCTCATTTAGACTAGAAGCTTCCTGAGGGCAAGATCTGTGCTTCTTTGTATTCACCATTGCATCTCCATCACTTGATGCAGCATGTACCAAGGGGTGTTCAATAACATGTGTTGAATAAATAAATAAATGCACAAGAGCCAAGCCTTATTCCATATGCCAGCCATTATTCAACTGTTGACCTGGACTGGACATGGTGGCTCCTGCCTGTAATTCTAGCACCTTGGGAGGCCAAGGTAAGCGGATCACTTGAGCCCAGGAGTTGGAGACCAGCCTGGGTAACATGGCAAAACCCCGTTCTCTCCAAAAAACACCAAAGATTAGCTGGGTATCATGGTGCACACCTGTAGTCCCAGCCACCTGGGAGGCTGAGGTGGGAGGATCTTCAGAGCCCAGGAGGTCAAGGCTACAGTGAGCTATGATCACGCTACTGTGCTCCAGCCTGGACAACAGAGTGAAACCATGTCTCAAAAAAAACTGTTTATATATATTTACTCTTTCAGTTCTTACAAGCTTATGAAAATAGGTAGTATTATGATCCCCTTTCACATAGAAGGAAACTAAGGCAGAAGGTGCATAAGTAACTTGCCCATGATTGCACAGCTCATGTGCAATCCAGCAGAAATGCCTGGCACCAGAGCCTATCTTCTTAACTGTTGCATGATTCATTGCCTTTAGACAATGAATCTAGATGAGTGTCTGAAGATCCAGGCTCACATGGCAAAGAAAGCAACATGCATTTGCAGAGTCCAGAAGACAGAAACATGTGAAAGACCAAGGCCATGTAGGCAGAGCAGAGAAGCAGGCAGACCAGTCTTGGCTCTGTGAACAGGGACGCAAGCACTGGAATAGGAAGATTTGACTTTTAAGCCATCTCAGATTCCTCATGTGTGTCCTGGCCATGGCAAAACCCTAGCTAAACAGATTCTGAGGTGACAGAGGGTGAGGATCAATATTTAGGACTTGCAAGGAGAGGCCAGAAGGAAGTCAGGCAGCCTCAAGGGAGTCAGGGCCTTCTCCACCAGAACAGTTGGACTCAGGGAGACTGTTGACACACAGGCACACTAGTGACTCCAGGCCCTGCCCTCCAAGGCTTCCACAGCCTCCTTGTAGGTACCTTGTCATCTGCTGTCCCAGGGCAGATCTCAGCCTCCCTGCATGCTTCCTCCCACCCAGGGCTTCTCACTTTTCTTTTTATTTCATTTTTGTTTTTTAGAGAAAGGGTCTTGCTCTGTCATCTCACTCTATCACCGAGGTTGGGGTGCAGTGGCATGTTCACAGCTCACTGTAGCTCAAGTGATCTTGGGCTCAAGTGATCCTCCTGCCTCAGCCTCCCAAGTAACTAGGACTATAGGCACACACAAACACACCTGGATGTTTTTATTTGTTATAAAGACAGGGTCTCACCATGTAGGCCAAGCTGCTCTCAAACTCCTGGACTCAAGCAATCCTCTCGTCTCAGCCTTCCAAAGTGCTGGGATTACATGCGTGAGCCACTACACCCAGCAGAATTATTTTTTTGGTAGAGACAAAGTCTCACTATGTTGGCCAGGCTGGTCTGGAACTCTTGAGCTCAAGCAATCCTCTTGCCTCAGCTCCCAAAGTGCTGGAATTATAGTTGTGAGTCAACCATGCCTGGCCTCATTCTGACTTTTGTCCAAGGGACATCCTTCACATTACTGTTCCTCCTGCTACATCAGGCCTGACACCTTCCCACTTTTGAGTGGGAACCTCACTACTCTTGAGGTACTGAATGAGCCCTGCAGTTTGGTACCTTGTGTATGAAGTCAGCCAGATCACCTCATAGAATTCCTGGGCACTGCTTATACTGCCCAGAGTCCCCAGGGACCGTAACCTATCCTTTGGCAAAAATGTAGACACAGTTTTTAGGTCTGATGAAAGATGGCATCCAAACACAGGCAGAATCATGTAGGTGGGAGGCCTCCTTTCAGGCACCTAGAACTCTCAGCAGGCTGCTCCCTGAACTGGCTCTGTATCCATCACTGCATTTGTTTGAACCCCAGCCTATGGTTCCCCTCTCCTGCAGTTAACATTTTAGACTTTCTGTCTCTAGTGTAAGTAAATACTTTTTGTTAAAGGAATTTGGGGTATCATCAAGTACATGAGGAGGTGCACAGGACCCAGGGAGGGAGGGATCCCACATTGCTCAGGCCCGGGGATGCCCAAGCCTGTGACTGTGGGTTCTCACCGTCAGCTCAGTGGGGTCTGCCTCAACTGTCCCAACATTAAGTCTCCAAACCTGCCCACTGTGGTCCAGACTGAAGCAGGGAGAGAAGTTGTGTCACCAGAGCTCTTAGAATTTTGGGGAAGATGGGAGATTGGCAAGGAAAGAAATTACTCAATTTATATCACCCATTGTTTTCTTTTTCAAATTGCAAAATAAAATAGGAAATAGAATAGAAAATTAAATAAAATATCCTTTTTGGTGATTTTGGAGATAAACCACTTCTGGTTTCCTGTTGGCGGAGATTACCCGACAGTCGTCTCATTCAGCTTTTGGTTCTGTAGTGAATGTTTATTTATAACAAAGTCCAAGGTCCCAGCTAAGAACAGGGAATGAAGAAATCCTTAGCAATTTCTTTCTTCTGCACATGCCATACCATTCACAAACACAGCCCCTTTGCTGACTTCGTCACTGCTTTGCCCTTGAAAGAGGAGTTGCTATAATGTGCCTTGCAAATGACAAAACTTGATTACATCGTCATGCAAATGTCCCTGCATGCAGATGAGGTGGCTCCTCTGGGTGGTTGGGGCCTAAGAGGCCCCTGTTTGTCACCGAGGACTCTGCTGGCCCCCTCCTTGGTCATGGGACAGATGAGGGGGCATCCTGCTACATTTGCTGTCTTTAATTTCATCTTTTCCTTTGTAAAAAGTGAGAAATGTGTTCTCCTTTATCCAAACCAGCATTTCGTCCACTTGCTACCTACTCCAGAAAATACCAGGAGAAAATTATTTGCATTTCTTTTAAATTGCAATATTTAAATTCTCATTAAAGAACCAAAACCATGTTCTTTATTTAAAGAACATGGTTTCAATAATGAACTCAATAATGAACCATGTTCATTATTGAAAACTTGGAGGAAAAAAAAAACTGCCCATCATCTCATCATCCAGAGACAAATTATTCATAATTTAGATTACCAAGATAAACCCCTCTAGGTTGTGATGTATTGTCTTTTCATTTATATTCCTGAATTTGACTTGCTAATGTTTTGTTAAGGATCTCTGCATCTATGTTCATGAGGAATTTGGGTCTGTTATTTGATTTTTTTTTTGTAGTTTTGGTATTAGGGTATCACTACCCTAATTAATTGAGTTGAGATGTGTTTCTTCTCCTTCTATATTCTGGGAAAGACTGCAGAATTTCTTCCTTAAATGTTGGTAGAATTTACCAATGAAAACATTTGGGCCTAGAGTTAATTTTGTTGGAAGTCTTTTAGCTGCAAATTCAATTACTTTACTTGTCATAGATGAATACAGAATTTCTGTCTCTTCTTGAGCTAGTTTTGGTAATTTGTGTTTTTCATAATAGTCCCCTAAAATCCTTTTAATTTGTTTCAAATTAGCAGTGATGGCCCCTCATCATTGTTGATTTTGAAGATTTGTGTCTTTTTTTTTTTTCTTATTCAGTCTAGCTAAAGGTTTATACTTTAAAAATATTTTCATGCTTTTCATTGAATTAAATTGATTTTCTATATGGTTTTTCTCTTTTTATATTACTGATTTCTACTATAATTTTTGTTATTTCTTTTCGTCTGCTACTTAGAGTTTCATTTGTTTTTCTTTTTTCAATTGCCTTTTTTCTTTTTTCACTTTTTTTAAAGTTAAAGTTGATTTATAGTATTTTAGTAATTTTTTTATTTTATAATATAGGTGGTAAGTATATTATATTCAATACAAATTTAACATGTTGTATTTTGTTTACTTTAAGGTTTTTTTTTGGGGGGGGAGGTTAGAAATGGAGTCCCACCATACTGCCCAGGCTGGTCTGGAACTCCTGGTCTTAAGCAAATCTCCTGCCTCAGCCTCCCAAAGTGTTGGGATTACAAGCTTGAGACACTGCTCCCAGCCTCCTAATGCTTTTTAATTTCCTTTTTAATTTATTTTTTGGTGCATGGGTTACTTAGAAATAGATTAACTTCCAAATATTTAGGGATGTCTCAAATTTCTTAACTCCATTGTTTTCAGAAAACATGCTTTAAATAATTTAAATTATTTCAAATATGTTTATATTTGTTTAATGGCCTAGCATATGGTCTATTCCAGAGAATGCTTCACGTGCACTTAAAAAGAATGTGTATTCAGCTGGGCACGGGGGTTCAAGCCTATAATCCCAGCACTTTGGGAGGCCAAGGCAGGGGGATCACGAGGTCAGGAGTTCAAGACCAGTCTGGCCAACATAGTAAAACCCTGTCTCAACTAGAAATACAAAAAAATAAAAATTAGCCAGGTGTGGTAGTAATTAAATACAAACAAATAAAAATTAGCCAGGTGTGTGCTTGTAATCTCAGCTACTCAGGAGGCTGAGGTGGGAGAATCGCATGAACCCAGGAGGTGGAGGTTGCATTGAGCCAAGATTGTGCCATTGCACTCCAGCCCAGAACTCTGTCTCAAAAAAAAAAAAAAAAGAATGTGTATTCAATAGCTGGGCCCCAGTGGTGGGTGCCTGTACTCTCAGCTACTCAGTAGGCTGAGGTGGAAGGATTGCTTGAGTCCAGGAAATCAAGGCCAGCCTAGGCAACATGGTGAAACATGAGACCCCAGTAAAGAAAAGAAGAAAGAAAATCATGCATAATCTTCCATCATGCTTTTTTCCAGCATGACTCATCTTCTGTCCAGTCGTTCTATCAATTACCAAAAGTTGGGTATTGAAAAACCTAATTATAGTTGTGGAATTGTCAATTTCTTCTTTTAATTCTGCAAATTTTTGTCTTATATGTTGTGGGGCTCTGTTTTAAGGTGTGTATACACTTATATCTTCCTGAGGTACTGACATTTTTGACATTATGAAATATCCCTCCTTATCTCTGGCATATTTCTTGTCTTAAAGTCTATTTGTCTGATAGATTTCCTATGTAAACAGTAACAGTAAGAGAGCTAGGCCAGCTCTCTTACTGTTACTGTTTACATAGTAAATCTTTCCCTATGCTTTGTCAGTCTATATTTATTTTTGAATTTCAAGTTTGTCTCTTGTAGACAGCATATTATCAAATCTTGTTTTGTATCCAACCTGAGAATTTCTACCTTTTGATTAGATGTTTAGGAAATAATAATATTTTTAATGTACTTGATAGGATTGGATATCTATCATTTTTCTATTTAGTTCCTATATATTGTAGATTTGTGTTCTTCTGTTGCTTTTTTACTGTTTTGTGTTAAACAAATATACTGTGTAACATTTTTATTTGCTATTTATTTATTTTTTCAGGTTTATTTTTTTGAGGCAGGGCTTTGCTCTGTTGCCCAAGCTGGAGTGTAGTGGCCTGATCACAGCTCACTACAGAGTCAACCTCCTGGGCTCAATTTATGCTCCCATCTCAGCCTCCCAAGTAACTGGGACTGAAAATGGGCATTACCATACCTGACTAATTTTTGTGTTTTTTATAGAGATGAGGTTTCACCATGTTGCCTAGGCTAGTCTCAAATTCCCCAGCTCAAGCAATCCACCTGCCTTGGCCTCCCAAAGTGCTGAGATTACAAACGTAAGCCATCATGCCTAGCAGCGTTTTAAAAATTTTATTTTAGTAATGGTTGCTGCACAGATGAATATATACATCTTACCCTGTCACAATCTAGTTCAAGTTAATGCTGACTTAGTTCCAGTAAACTATAAAAACTTTTTCCACTATAACTTTATTCCCACCTTCCTTTATGTGATAGGTATTGAGATGTTACACATATGTGTTACAAGTTTAAAACTGAGTTGTAATTATGGTTTTACAGAATGTTGATTTTCAAAGTAATTATAATAAAAGCTCAGTATTTACATAATTCTTTATATTTATCCACATATTTACCATTTCTTGCATTTTTTATTTCTTTATTTTTTGTAAACAGGTCAGCTAGCAACAAATTATCTCAGTCTTTCTTTATCTGGGAATATATTTTACCTTCATTATTAAAGATTAGTTTTTCTAGATTTTGATTTCTTGGTTGACAGTTTTTTCTTTTACTTTCAGCAATTTGAATATATCATTCTACTGTCTTTTCGCCTCCATGGTTTCAGACAGGAAGTTGACCATTAATCATATTGTTCCCTTGTGTATGGTGATTTGTTTTTCTCTTGCTAATTTTAGATTTTCTCTTGTCTTTGGTTTGCCTTCCAGTGGTTTGACCATGATGTGTCCAGGTGTGAAATTCTTTGTATTTACTTAGAGTTTCTTGAGCTTCTGGAGCCCGTGAAATGATTTTTTAAAGTCAAATTTGGGGAATTTTCATTCATTATATCATTAAATATTTTTCTGTCATTTCTCTGGAGTCCCCTTCTGAGATCCCAATTACATGTATGTTGGTATGCTTCATGTTATCCCACCAGTCTCTGAGACACTGTGTATTTTTCTTCTATGTTTCCCTCTCTGTTTTTCACACTGAGTAATTTTTGATGATTTAGCTTCAATTTCATTGACTCTTCTGTGGCCTCCTCTAGTAAATTTTTAATTTTTGTTATTATTTATTGCAACTCAGAATTACCACTAGGTTTTTTTAAAAAATAATTTTTGCTTTTTAATTGAGATCCTAAATCAACCAATTTGTTAAAATCAACCAATTTGTTGAACCATTGTCATTACACTGATTTATTCATTCTTAAATGGTTTTCTTTAGTTCTTTGAACATATTTATAACAGCTGTTTTGGAATCTTTGTCCAAACTATGAGTGGTTCTTCTGGAACCACTCATAGTTTATATATATATTTCCCTGAGTATGGGTCAGATTTTCTGTTTCTTCATGTCTCATAATTCTTCTTAAAATTTGACATTTTAGATTATATACTCTAGCAACTCTGGACTCTGATTTCTCTTCCTGAAGCAGTTCTTTTTGTCTTTATTTACTTTCCCAGATGTAATCTGCAGAATCTTTGCCTTCTGCAGCACGGGGCCACTAATGTCTGTTTAGTTTATAAGTCTTATGTTTAATTTTTTGCCTGGCCTCCTAAGAGTAGTCCCTGTAGCTTAGTTTAGTGGTTAGCCAATGATTGGGCAGAGGTTTCCATAAAATTTTAGTAACTTTTCTTTTTCTTTCTTTCTTTTTTTTTTTTAGATGGAGTCTTGCTCTGTCATCCAGGCTGGAGTGCACAGAGAGTCATCTCGGCTCACTGCAACCTCCACCTCCCAGCTTCAAGCAGTTCTCCTACCTTAGCCTTTCAAGTAGCTGGGATTACAGGTGCCCACCACCACGCCCGGCTAATTTTTCTATTTTTAGTAAAGACAAGGTTTTCCATGTTGGCCAGCCTAGTCTTGAACTTCTGACCTCAAGTGATCCACTCACCGTGACCTCCCAAAGTGCTGGGATTACAGGCTTGAGTCTCCATGCCTGGCCAGTAACTTTTCAGACTAAAATTGTCTTAATTCCTTGCTTCCTTTTGGTTGATTTCCATAGCCCTGAAATTGTTTTTCATAATGTTACCCAGTTTTGTGGGGGTAAGAATTTGCCAACCTCTTCACTTTGCAATAGCCAAAAGTCCCACCCTATATGTACTTTAAAAATGCAAGCACACAACACATCCTGTTTTCTACACTGAAAAGTCTATATGTTCTAGATTGTGTTTGATTTACAGATTTGATAACTAGGTTTTTTTTCGCTGATGTTCTAAATTCTCACATTAAACTTTTGGGATTAAATAAAATTTATAGGAGGTCATTGATTTGGACTGGATTCCTGCCAAACCAAACTAAAATGGAGTCACTCA